TTTCCCTTCTTCCAATTGCAGGTACTTTTTATTGCAAATGCAAGTATAATATATTTTAGTGCCGAAGCATTTCATTTTTCGGGTTGAGCCCTATGAAATTATTAATCTCCAACAAACGTACCCTAAGACTCGCTTGTTATTTATATGCAGGGAATGGCGGCTTATTTACCCAAACATTAGAGTGATCCAAAATGTTCAGCTAAGCAGGAACACAAAATATGATATTATATTATGTAAATGGGTTTGCGATACGCTCTGCTGGATAATAACTTCCAGATGTCTCCGTAGCCAGAGGCTGACGGATATCAAAGGCAGGTTGGCTGGGAGGGGAGACAAGCCAGCTGGCAGACTGGCTACTGCTAAGTGTAGCGGAAGGTGGAAGCTGGTGTTCCTTCACACTCGCTGGTTTTATTGGTGGGCTAGTGAAAAGTCAGCGGCTCGCAGCCTTCTTGTCACGAGCAGGATGGGGCTGGAGGGGCTGCTGGCATCCCCCGTGTCTCGTTCTGTCAGGGGATTATCGTTCGACCTCTTTCACCAGTAGAGGTTGGGTTTAGGCTGAGTCTCCCAGTAAATGAATGGCTGACGAGCCACAGACCAGCGCTGACAGGAGATTATGGGCTCACTAAATGGCTTTTCCAACTTATTCTTTATTCCCAGTGCCAGGTGCAGACAAGGAATGTCCCTGGGCTCTCAGCATTATGGTGTAAATGGAGTTAGTTGAAGCACCCTGCAGCCTCACTAGTTTGGAGTAAGGTGTCCTGGAGCTGTTGGGTTTTGAATCTAACAATCCCTTTGGGATTTAGCTCCATGCAGCAGGTTGTGTTCACCATCCTTAAAGGCAATTCTAGACTGAAAAGGGACTGGAAATTACTTCTGGGAGATTCCACTGGAACTGCTGACATGGACTCCAAGATACCCCTACACCTTCTGTGAAGCAGGCTGGGAGAGGAAAGTTCTTTTCACAATCCTTATAGATTGTGAAAAATTAGGGTTGTGATTGAGGCTGCACCTCCTCCGACCTTGCTTTCTGAAAGCTTGATCTGCCATCTCAGTGAAAGGTTTCTGATGGACTTCTATATGTTTGTAATTGATTTCAATTAATAGCTAAAAAAAACCAAATTAAAAAGTGGTAAGGGGAATTGCAGAGCAATTCTGCCACTCTGAGCTGCAGCTGATCCAGCTCTTCAGCTGCCTTACCAAATGCAGGGAGGATGGTCTCCAAGAGTCTCTTCCTCTGCCCTGCAACTGCTCATAACAAATATTAGAGTTGCACATTCCAAAGAAAGAAACATTTATCAGCAGAAGATGATGGCTGTGTTATGATTTGCCAGCACTGGCAGTGTCCGTGTGTGTCACAGTTATGGGCCAGAAGCCCACTGGAAGAGACATGGGATAACTCAGAGCCAAGTGTCAATCCCAGGCTTGCAGAATTTGGGCTTTAGATAATACAGCCAGCACAAGACTGCTGAGCTTCATCAGCAAGCTCTTAAAAATTCTGCCCCAATACAATACTAAAGTATTAGATCCTGCTGAATCCAAACTCTCCTAACAAGTTTACATCCCAGCATGGGCTCTTCTCCTGTTGTTTCTCTTCATCCCACACTTTGTAATTACTTTTTCCCCCTGATCTTGAAGGTTTTCATCTGTTTTGGCTCAGCTGTACTTCTCTAGCTTATCAGTGTCCTAAAGTGATAGACAGGCAAAATTATCTGACTATTTTGTATCCTCCTGTAATTATCTTTGTATTACCAAAAACTGTGTTCACATGTTCCATGTTTAGAGTTTGATCCTCTTGTAACGAGTTATAAATGTCACTGTGTAATTTTTGGAATGGAGAGCGGATTTCACTTTCCCCTGGGCACGTGTTTCATGGATTGCCTGGCTCTGTACACCATCATTTTTGTGCCATGTATAAGAGAGTCACAAAAACAGTAGGAGGGAAAACACCCCAAAGCAGGAGCGCTAGAAGTGCTTCTCTTGATTTTGTGAAGGACTGTGTTTGTGTTCTGCTGGCACTACAAAAGGTGGAGGAATATTTTATCTTTTGAAAATGTTTCTGAGATTCCTTAAAGCATGTGGCCAGTGAGGCCATGAGAAAATGAGCAGTTGTCATCTCACTAAAAACTGTTCCCCAGCAAAACTAGAATTGGAAGCTGTATTTTAGAATTAATTGAATTTGGTGTCATATTCTGCTTCTGAGTTGAACTTTAGATTCTTGCAAACTCAAAAACGCTGGAGAGTTTTCTGGGGCTCACAGTTCAACAATGCTGTTATTCCAGATATGTTCTGGGATGTTTCAGTCAGAGATCTGAATAGTTCTGGCATTTATACTCACCAGACTTTGTTACTGCATTTGTCTCACAGCTTTTAAGCAGCAGAAAACATGTACAACATATTTAAACAACACCAGAGAAATTAAGGTCAAGAGAATGCATTGTCAACAAATGAAGATAAAAAAGAGCTGTTGTTTAAAAAAAGAGAGAAAAATTGTTGTTGCAAGATGCTTTTGAAATTCTACATATCAAATTCAGAGTCATGTTGATGATTTATTCTAATATAGGAAAACATCATCAAGAGTGACAAGCAAGCTAGTCACTGTCTAGTCACCTGCCAGCAAGTATTTCATACAGACTAAAAAGGCTGGTATTGCCTTGCTGAGCTGACACTAATTATTTCAGTATACACGGAGCTTTGGGACTCGTGTTAATTCTCAAGTCTGTCTTTAGTTCAGACTCATTCCACTGTGTAAACTCAGAAGAGCACAAATTATTTGACCATCCTTTCATAATCTGTCCCCATGCTCACTTGCCAATTATATAAACTGATCCAAATACCTGCTCTCAAAGGATTCCCATTTGGGAATCACAAGCCAATTAAAAAAAATAGGGGATATCCACTATTCTGTGGCTCATGTCTCATAGTCCTATTTCTTGTTGTCATGCATTTCTGGGTGTCTTCTTTAGATAAGATTGATTTTACCAGTGCTCAGAAAACATACCTTTCTATCAATAAAATAATTTTAAAATGAAACCTCTTTTGAATATAGCATTGCATCCCATGGGAAGGAGGAGGTCAGTAGTGCCTACCAGTATCCTGGATATCCCAAGAAAGTCTTCCACTGCCACACTATGATTGTGTTTCTTTGCTTATTGCCCACTTCAGTAAGCATTTTAAGTGCAACATCTAAATATTGAACACAGTGCTGTGATTTTTTTGAAGGTGTGGAAACAGCACTTAGGTGAACACAACCCACATTGTGAGTGTGAGACAGGACCTGAGGAACATGCCTCTGTGTGTGACTCAAAAGACCATATTTGTCTGTTGTGTGAAAATTCAGCTCTGGAACAGGCTTGTTTTTAAGTTTTGCAGCAAAAATAGCTGCATTTTGGCTCAAATGTTTCCAGTCCTTGCAGCCAGCGGATGTCTGCCCTCCAGAGGTAACAGAGCTCAGAGCCATGACCAGGCTGTGAGCATAGGCTCCTTGCTGCTGTGCCCTGCTCTCAGTATCTCCATCCTTTCTGGAGAAGGTCCACACAGCTCTGGAGCCGCATCTCAGTTTTACTGTTTAGTTTTCGTATACTGTGTAGTCTGGAGGTGACTGCCTGTTCCTTTACCTCCTGATCAGGAATTGAAATGTGCTAATAGATGGATTTACATCAGACTAGAAGGCCTGAAGCAATGATTCCCACTGAAATCAGTGCCTACAGACAACTGCTTGGAGGGTGTTTGGGTTTTATGTTTGGAGTAAGACAAAAAGTGAATGTGGCTTAAAATGGCAGGAGCCTCAGAAAATGCTTTGATAGCTTTTCCTGCATTGTTCTTGTGTGTTGGGGCATTGGGTTCAGGGTGAGTGGGGGTTTTGCAGTTTTTTGAGAAAAATAGCTGAAAATTGTAACATTCAGAGAACAGTATTCCCACTGGATCTTACCTCAAATGAAAAGAATGTGACTTGCAGTCTTTGTGATTTATGAAAGTTTAAACATTTTCTGGTGGGAGTGCGGGTCACCATATGGTAACAAAAGACCTTGCTAGTTATCTTTTCTGCAGACTTTTAGAAGTAATTGCTGGAATCCTAGAAGACCACAGAGTATTGAAGTATTGGGACTGCATAACCTCTGAAGAGCCTTCCCAAATCTACATTTCATTGATTCATCCATTCTATAAGGCATAAATTTTCTAATAGTGAGCCAGTCTCTCTAAGTCAAAACCATGGTCCCACCATTTCCATTTTTATTCATAGCACTGTAACATTTCCAACACAAAAGTATTCCATTCAGAGAATCCATAGTTAAAAAAAAATCACAAAGACTCAAAGTCATACCAAATAATGAAAATTTACTGTGCCTGAGATGTATTACACTTCCCAGGCAGCGTGGGGTGTGTACTTTGGGATTTGTGTTCAAAACCCAGCTCTCATATAAAGATCATTTGTTATGAAGCACTAAAAATCTGAACTAATGCACCTTTGCAGCCATGGGGCTGACTCTCCCTCTGGTTTGTGTGGCAGAATACTTTTGCAGAGCCACAGACTGGAGATTCTTGTAGCCCTGCTCATGGTTAATACCAGACTGTAAAGCTGGACCCATGAGATGGACTGCAAAGGAATCAGCTCCCATTTTTTGTGTTCTGGTAGGTTGTACTTATGGGAAATTTTCAGCAAATTCTTTACTCCAGTTCTCTGCTGCCTCTCCTTGCAGCTGGTGTAATGAGGACAATACATTCTGGGAGGCATCTTGACTTCGGAGTGACAGCTCCATTCATTTGTGAATGTTTTAGTTGATGAGGTGGTGTTAGGTCATAGGTTGGACTTGGTGATCTGCAAGGTCTCTTCCAACCTAGCTGATTCTCTGACTCTGTGTTTCTGTGAAAATGAAGCAGCAGCAGAGCTGCCAGTAAACACGTTGTGCCTTTGTTCCGTGTTGCCGTTGATGCCACTGTTGGACAGGTCCTAAGAAGCGAGGAAGAAGCTAACTGTCTGTGCTTTCTTGTTCCCAAAACAGCCCAAAGGAAGGAAGGCACTGCCTGGAGAGCTGGTGCAGCAGCAGAGTGACACCCTGCTGCCGTGGCGGCAGCACCAGAGTGCCAACGGGCTGCGGCGGCAGAAGCGCGACTGGGTCATCCCACCCATCAACGTGCCCGAGAACTCCAGAGGGCCCTTCCCGCAGCAGCTGGTTCGGGTGAGTTCAAGGACAAAATAGTGATAACAGGGCTAATAATAAGGGCCCTTCCCGCAGCAGCTGGTTCGGGTGAGTTCAAGGACAAGTGATAACAGGGCTAATAATAATGGTGATCTTGTAATGGCTCTGGTGAAGCAGTAGGTGTGGGAAGCCTGGCTCAAAGCACAGGCTCTCTGCTCTCCCTCCCTCCTGCAGGATCGGTTGCCTTTTCCATGCTGCTCCAAAGCTCCTCGCCCCAGTTTCCCTCCCAGCTGACGGCAGCCTAATCGCCTCCTTCCAGCCAGTCCCTCCTGAGACACTGGCACTGCTGCCAGGATGGCACTTTGCCCACGCTCTCATCCAAAAAGCGTCTGCAGGTGTAAGAGCTGGGCTGGGTGGCACCCAGCGATGAGGGTGCTGCATCCTTCCCTTCCCATCCCATCCCTCCCTCCCCGATCCCGCTGCAGATGCGCGGCGGCCCGGGGGAGGTTGGCTGCCTGCCGCCGCTGCAGATGGATCCGGCAGCCTCCCCTGTGTTGCTGCTTTCTTTCTTCACAAGGATAATCTCTGAGATCAAGTTTACCCATGTGGTTTTCTGTGGTGATTATGGGATGACAGGAAAAGAAAAGGAAGGGAAAAGGAGTGTTTTACAGAGACATTTGGTTGATTTATTGTTGCTGTTGATAAGTGTTAGTGAAATACAAACACATGTTGCTATTCCTCTTGTGGGTGCTGGTTGTGGTTTTTTGGAGCAGTCAAATGATTAGCTGTAAAAAAAAATAATAAGTAAAACTCCTTGGCAGACATTTGCAACTAACTCTTCCCTTGGAAGAAAAAGGCAACAATATAAAAATTCAAAAGTTATTTCAGGTAGCAGTGGTGTGTCATTGGCTACCCCTTCTCAGGAAATACATTTAGTCCTTTTGAAGCAGTGCCTGGATTCACATGAGTTGCATCGTTACCTGTTTCTGTGTCTGGGAGGAAGGGGCATGTTCCAATTCAGCCAGGGATTTTTAAGCTTGGATCGTTGGTGCAATTCCTCTGTGCAATTAGGGAATAAAGTACTAAGGACTAAGAAGTACCAGGTGGCAAATAAAACCAGGGAGGGAAGCCAGAGAGTCTTTGTGTGGTCAGCGGTGCGGGGTACGGAGTGACCCATTAATGCGTTGTCCTAAGCTGAGGAAATGTCTGAAGAGCAGAATAACCTGATGTGTCAAAAATGCCTTTCTAAATTAATAATTTAGATTAAATCTTGAATTCCTGTGAAAAATAAAGGGTGGTAGTTGCAAAATGAACTTGTGCTCTCTTCCATTCCCTACTGATTTCTTTTGAGTTTTGACTAGACAGCAAGAGGACAACTTGGCACCAGCTTACCGTGGCAAATTTGTTGATTTATAAGGACTGAAATCTCTGTGGCACTTTTTACCATACAGTCTGGAGATGAAACAGAAGGACTCGACTATGCAAAATTCTAATATTAATGGAAATGACAAATAATAAATTTTGTATAGGCACTGAAGAATTGATATTCATCACTTAGACTACCGGTAACCTTGGAAAGATAACCTGGCTTATGGAAATGCAGAACTCACAGATTTTCAACAATATATTCCATTGCAGTTTTCAAATACAGATGCTAGAGGAAACACTGAAATAAAGTGAAAATGGAGTGGGAAATAAAAAAAACAAACTGGCTTACAAAGGGCTGTTTTCCTCTTCACCTGACATACAGAAAGCATCATAATGACAGGGAAGATCATACAAAGAGTGCAACTTGATTAAGCGTGAGACCCCTGATGTTTCAGGCTTGGGTTGAGTTTCTGCTCCTCTGCAGCATCTGGCCCTTTTGCCAACGCCTGAATGTGAAGCTTGGGTGATTCCTATCAGGAGTTACAGCTCCCTCCGTTAGACTTTGCTCTTTAATTATCCAGAATAGGACAAATCAACATCTTCAAAGACCAGCACTATCTGATTATTTCCGTCCACATAATCTTCAGATTGCCCTGAGGCATTTTGCTGTCTCCTAGATATAGGTAAGAGTTTTGATCTGATTTCCCATGCTTTTGCTCGCTGGGCACTGAATATTTTTGTGTCCATCTGCTCACAAACTGGAACCAGAAGTGCACATGTGAAGCTGCAGCTCAGCTCTCATTTGTACAGAAGCAGGTCTGTCACGTTTTTTTCTGCTATTTTATATAAAACATTCAAACCTACCACTGGTTCTTGGACACTGAACTTTTTTTTGGTTCAGAAAGACCAGTCTGAGCTTGCATTTTGTAGGTATAACTCATGGAAACCAGTCCCTCCATAGTGCTATCTTTGGTTCTGGCTTCCTCCTAGGAGAGGAAGAGATGGCATGAAAAATCTCATCACTAAAAAACCAAAAATCCCTACCAGAAGTACATTTTACATAGAACCACTTGCTGTTTGCGTTTTTATAGGTCAGACTAATTTGAAATGCATAGGCAAATCTTTCAGGTTCCCTCCTACTCCTGCTTCCTATTGTGAAGGTAAAAATTCCATTTTATGGAAGTTGATTAGTTACTTGTCAGTATTTTTAGCAAGGCTGTGCCTGAATGAAGTTTAAATCATAGCAAAGGTGAATGCAGCTTGATGGGAGCCACATACCTCGAAAGGCAGCCCTGTCTGGTTCAGCTGGGATCAACTGTAATTCTCTGCTCATTAAACCATTTCATTCTGATAAAATACGTTAAATGAAAAAGTTTTTATAGAAAAAAATAAAAAAGGAACATTATCCCTGCCAAAAAAACCCTTCTGTTAATTACAAGGTTTTTTCTTTCTGAGGAACATCCATGTCTGTTCATATACATCAACCACACTAACTAGGAAATGTGTTTCAGAAAAATAATAGCTGAAAAAATAATTTCTAATTAATTTTGACTGCTGAAAAGATTTACTTACTCTTTGAAGATTTTAAATTAACATCTGACATTTATAAGCTAAAAAAATTGTTAGTGTATAAAAATGTTTTGTAAATTCTGCTTTTGTCTTTGAGCTGAGAAAACAGTTATCAAAATTTATTGATATATGCTTATTTATTTTGGAAACATTTATGAAAATCTTGAGTTTAATTTCCTTCTGCTTCACTTCCACCTTTGTACTAGGAATAATATTGTACATGCTGGGAAATATTTCACTGTTGTGAGGCTAATTTCATTACTAATTTTCAGGTACTCTCATTATTATAACTGAAGTCCATAAAAATGCCTATTAAAAATACAAAAACAATATGAAATCCCCCTCCCTCTCCAAGCAAATGACTCATGCAGGCACACTGATCAGCTAAGATAATATATTAAATAGTTGCACCCTTGCTGAGCTCTGTCTATTTTCTCACTGACTCATCCTTTTTAGCTACATGCGTAGCTAATTCTTAATTATCTATTATCTAATTATCTATTAGCTTATCTTGTATTTCATCCTCTTTTGAACTTCAAAAAGAATCTCAGTTTTGGATCCACAAGCCAGTATCCAGCTGCTTCTAATGGGAATCTTGACTCAGTTTTCAAGGCAGGTCTTGGTTCATCTCAACGGACTACATGAAAATAATTAATTTTAAAAAACAAGCCTTGTGCAGAATTGGCCTTTGGTCATCTTCGGCATGCTTAGATAATGGGCTGCTCTGTCAAGCACTGCAACTATGTTCTCCTTTGTTCTGTGAGGGCTCCAAACTTTCAGTTCATCTCCAGGACCTTTGCAGAGCCTCCCATCTTGCACCTCATAGACCCTAATTTTTCCAGCTTGCCTTTATTAAACATAAAACTGAAAAATGTATTATTTTCCTGTTAGATCTCTTATGATAAACAACTTGTTCATTCTCATTATGCCAGCATGAAAATCCCCTGAGGATGACCAAGACAGGATCTTGGTGCTCTCACAAACTGCCTTGATTGCACGCTACAGGCACAGCATGGGCTCCCGCATCCCAGCGCTGGTGATCTCAGCCACAAGAATGCTAGAAATAACCTGATGTGTGTAACAGGGAACAAGAGGGAAGGATGCATTTTATGTAAATTTAATCAGAAAGTCCTGAAGTGGCTTGGAAAGTTGGCAGAATATAATATACCTGAAGGCTCTTGTGTTGTTGCTTAGCAGAGGTGTCGATGGCGTGTCGGGTTCCCAGCAGCACGGGGCACACAAGAGGAGCAGAGAGCTCCTCTTGACACACTGCAAAACCCTGTGGTGGACTCATGGGTGGGGTTAGCACATCTTAAGCTATTCTGTGACATTGAATATTTAATATTAAAAAGGTTGATAGCACACTCTTCAGCTCAACACCTGTTTGTGAGCCAGAGCCCACCCTGGCACAGGAAATGGGTGAGACAGCTCTCCCAAAGTCTGGAATCCTGGTGCTGGAGACACACAAGGCACACTGAGCTGTGAAATCCCTGCCAGCTTGGACCACCAGCCCTCAGTGCTGCCATCTCCTTTGCTCCTCATGGCTGTTTCAGCGTGTGCCTTTGCGCTGTTTTAAATAGTTTTATTGTAGGAAATCCCTCTTGCCTCCTCTCTCACAGCATTGCTCACTGCTGTGAAATTGGCAGTGCAGAATCCATTAGCTCCCAGCTGCAAGACAGATGGCATCTGTCTGTGGTGAGAGAAGGTTTGTTGAGAAAAGGCCTTGCAAATGCTTCCCAAAGGACATCAGACCTTACTTTTCCTGAGAGAGATGCAGACAGCATTGATTACAAATACACCTAGATCTTTCTTGTTCTCCACAGGAACAGGTGTTTCTTTTGCCTTACCAGCCACACACACACTCAAAGAAAAAAAATGGCTAGTTCTGGTTCTCAGTGCACCTCACCTTTGTGATGCCCTGTGAGCATCATCAGCTGAAATTCAGAAATGAGGGCATTTGGTCTTTATTGTAACACTGAGGACAGGATAAGGAGCAAGCCCAGAGGGTGGAGAGGAAATGGGACATTGTGCAGGTTGTGGTGCTCTGGAGAGTCACAGCCTTTCTTTGAAAGCTGGTTCAAGGATGTAGATTGAGGCAGCTC